AATCGGTTATTTTCCCTACTAAAATTGTTCTTTCTACTTTTTCGCAAAGAATTCAAGAATTTCAATATAAATCAGTTTTCCAGAAAGTACGAGGATTCAAAGCAAGTTGATATTTTCAACACAAATTTACATATGAATAAGATGGAGACCATGGATATTTACCAAATAACAGATAAATTATTTGACTGGAAAACCGTGTCAAACTCTATCAGCCAATTACATGAGCTCTTAATAACACACTTTTGATCTGCACAAATAAGTATAGTGTTCAGATGTTTAAGCTACAAATCTTAAAGGATTGATGTGGGCTTTTCAATGAAGCATCTGAGCTCCTCTCTCCCTGCCTTCGGATACGCTATTAACTAAAAGGTTTCCTAACGACTTCTAAATACAACAGATCTATCTTGAATCATCTGAAAATAGGTCTTGATAGAATTGATTGAGATAGCTCAGCTGTGTAACAATCTTTATTTTAGCTCTAAAACCAATTGCAACCGCGACAGCAAGTTTCTTGAAATATAAGGTTGCCCTGCTACAAAGAGACTAAATAGTCAATATGTCAAAAATCTTATTCTCGTGGTTTTAGATTAGTTGCAATGCGATAATAAAGAGTGTTAATGGACTAAGCTTGATCAACGATCCTTATCAAGAGTTGTTTACATGTTTTCCAAGATAAAATGGTTGAATTCAAAAATTTCTGGAGAATCTCTTTATCTTTCGAACAGGATAAGATAGATAAATGATCTTATCCAAATGCAAAGAAAACAACTTTATTAATCGATTAGTCGTACTGCAAGCCAAAACTCTATGCGGAACGCCTTTAACATTTTTTTTCAAAATATTGATAAAAAATCCAGCTGATTATCCAATTGATGATCAATAGAGTTTTATATCACTTTATAGCCAAATTATTTCTTGTTCAATGGGTGAAAACTAATGGTTTCTATTTTGCATTATTGAACAAAAATATAAGAGCAATATATTTTTGCTCTTTTTTTGTCTATGACATCAAGTATTTAACTCAAATTCAAGTCCTAATTTAAATAGATGATGCAGTTTCCTATCAAATGCGTTTCTTGCTGAACTAGTATAAATGCATAGAACCGACTTGAAGAGGTATAAAATTCTAAGTAGAGTTAGGAGTCCCTGAATGTCCACCGATATTATCTTAATCAAATAAAGCATCACAAAAATAAAACAAAAAGCGAAACTTATCATAAAATTGCTTAAAAAATGCATTTTTCTTTGTTGTTTTATCATGCTTATAACTTTTCAAGCGGATCTCATGCGGAATACGACAATCTTTCATTTTACTCAAAATTTTGTACCTTCAAGATGATACTCTTCAAAAATACTTTTCAAAAAAAGTGTTGTAGGATCTGAAAAATATCGTTTTGAGCTTTTAAGAAACCTTGCTCTCATAGGCCATCCAGGGGTCGCAGCCGAGAGATTCGAAGAAGAAGGATTTTGAGAAGGAATCTTTCAAAAAAAAAGAAGGAAATTCGAAGATAAGAAGGAAAGGAAGGAAAAGAAGAAATTTTGCAGAATAGTGCGCTGCAACGAATAGATTTTATACGACATCCAATGAGAAACAATAGGACTGAGCCCAATGAGTAAAATAATTTTCGAATTATTATTTTGTTACGTTTCAAGGACATTCTCCTTCGTGGCGTAACCAGAAATAGTCGGGTGATCGGGTACCGCCCTAAAAACTCTAGGACGTTAACTAAGAGTAATGCACTATGCCTCTTTTTTTATACAGCGAAAGTGCATTAAAGAATCTATCTGTAAAAGCAGATTTTATTTTTAAAATTGTACTTAGTTTGTTCAATAGAGAAAAGATCCGAAGATCGCAACATTTTATTTGAATAAAACTGATATTTTTATGCAAATCAGTAAAATTGTTGATGAATTCTTCGAAAGAAATGTTGGAATGACGTTTCACTTCTAATATATACAAATTGCTCAAACGAATATCCAATATAGTATTCAGTATAGTTGTCTTTATTAATTTCATTTTGCTAAATGTTCGTTGACAAGTGTCGACCGAAACTGATAAAGTTATAGCACCGATGACATATGATATTATTATTTGAAATGCCGAGTGTCCAAGTTAATAATGCAAGTTAGAGGTCATTTTGTTACTTCCAGACTTTGAATTCTCAACATCGAGTCAAGAATCAGAGATAGACAAATATAAGCTCGAGTTTAGATAAACTTCGAAGTTTAGGCATTTTTTATCATAGTTGAAGTAATGTATAGGAAACTGAAGGGTTGTAGCCAAAGTGAGGATTCGAAGAAAAAGGAGTAAAATTACATGTTGTTGGAGTGGTATATGGGCGAAATTGTTTATCTCCGTTAAGAAATTAAATTTGATTAAATAACAGATACAGCACAGCTTTTATATATGTCGCGAGTTTCTCTAACTCCTTCAATTGTAAACAATACTCCGTATCTCAACACAATGTTGATATTTTATTTAAAATTTGCATGATTTCTGGGAATGGACAGATACTTGATACTTAATAATGCACTTAATCGACTGATAAAATTAATATCAACTCAGAAATGAGACAATATGGGTCGTTCTGTTTTATTAATTTTACAGTTTTGAAATAAACATACGTGTTTCTTTAATTGGTGATGGTTGGGCTGAGCCCAACTATGGCCTACCCTGGTTACGCCACTAATTCTTCTGGTTTTATAGCGAATAATAACAGAAAATGAATTTCAAAGGCGAGGGGGCGTCTTCTTAATTGTACGACGTGCATGAATGTTGTTGCCATCCCTATCTCTCAATGACTCTCTCGGTAGTTTTACAGGTCATGCACACCTCTCATTCACATGTATTGCCATACTGTGTAGCGATCGCAAAATTCATGTATGATCAATTTATCCATTAATAGACCGTCAGAGAGATGTAGCACCGTCCTCGCTCTCTTCTTGAGAAAGAGGTAACACGCATACTGGTTACTTCTATCTCCAATAAAACTGCGTCATTTGTCGTGCTAAACTACAATCTGACAATCTTGATTGAACATTGATACGCCACGAAAGATCATTCGCACAGAAAGCTATAAGACTCTGATTATGAGATGGATCAGCTTCAGCTACGCTGTGTCGCAGAGTAAAGCTTCGAAATTTTCGACAGTGACCATATTTTAGAGAAGCATCGTTTTACGTATCTCAAGTTCTGTATATGCGCCCAACATAGACTGAAGCCACACATGCATACTTTAGTCTAAGTATAACATACTGTACATTCGACTTGAGCTAAATAAAACATTTTCTGGAACTCTGAGAGTTCCCTATCAATGTCAAACTCTAACTAAGTATTACCAGTCAGTTTTTTCCATGTTTCTGAGAAACTATTTGTATGAAATATAAAAAAAAGAAGGAAAAGAAGAATTTTAGGCGTAAAGAAGGACGAAGAAGGACACTCTAAAAGAAGAAGGAAAAAAGAAGGAAAGAAGGACCGCTGCGAGGCCTGGCCATCAATGAAACTTTGATATGGAATGCATTTGATAGAGAATCAGCTGCTTAATATTGTAGAAAAAAAAAACAGGATTTCGTTGCTTTTATATTTTTGTCAAGTACTGTATAATTCGCAGACAGTAACAACTTCTTTGATCAAGCGAAGAATTATTTCAAGTTTCATCCACTTTTTGTAATGTAACTGAAACATCAAACTTTGATCATGAACTCAATTTCTTCTTATCCTCGTATAACATCCATTGATAAAATCATAGCTTATTTATATAGGACTACTCTCAAAGATTTTGTTTTCCACCGATTGAATATTTTACTTTTGAGAATATTTAGGAAAAAAAAGCTGATTTTTCTTTCGATTATTATGATCCACAATTACCTACACCACCAGCAAAAGTACTCAATAATTATCTTAACAATTATTAAATGAGGCATCACTAGTACAAGATAATATTGAAAGTGGTCATATGAATTTCGAAGGATCAAGTTGTCTACAAGTCTTATCTACTAATGTTCAACAATGGATTATTGCAACATTAAAAATATCAAAAGGATTATCATATCAAGAAATAATCTCTCTCTTGAAATTTTTAAATCAATCCACATGTCAATTTATTATTACCAATGACAATTATCAAATACCTTATCATCCGTCTGTTATTAGTGATGCAAATCAAAATCATATTATTAATTGATCTATTCTTTTCCATCTTCGACGACTAATAAACGATGAAAAAATTCGATCAAATTTGATCTATAAAATTCCTTTACCTTTACCAAATATTAATATTTTAAATAGAATTTCTATTGCAGAAAACGTATTCAACCAATTAAAAGAATGTTTTCGTTTTACAAACCTTTTGTTCAACAAAGTAAACATGTTGAACATTTCTATTCAATTATAATTACCAAAACATCATGGAATTTTCTTGTTGATCTACTTTAATCAGAACATATTCAAAATTTAAAGGCTCAATGGGCTGATAAATTATATAATCTATTCTCAATAAAAAACACAATACTAACGGTAACATATTATGAATTAACTCAATTACTAAGGATAAAAATTATCTTAATGATTTATTCAAAATTGATTATCACGATGAAGAACAGTTACCCATTCGTCATACACTTGATAACCTTTTAGTGATGATTTTACTCGGTGAAAAAGAAAATAGTCTCTGGACATTTGCATTTGAACGGTTGAAACTTGAAGAATCTTACGGTAAGTTTTTATTCATAGGCAGATATCGATCCTTCACATAATGTATCTTGTATTTCATGAGAAAATGAGAATCAAAGCAACTCTATGGAGGCAACGAACTCAGTGTTCCAGTGGTTTATATCGCCTTTTTTGCTATATTTGGTGCTATGGTGAGTCCAAAGAATGATAATATCCATTTTATATATCTAGGCTTGACAGTAACAGAACGTATAGCTAATGATAGTGTTCGAGAAAAGACGTATTTTTTTTATTTGTACTCGAGTTTTCTAAATCCATGAATTAAGTCATTCTATAAGACAAGTATTGAGAAAGTTGAAGCTGAAAAAAGATTTCAAAGGAAAATTTTCTATCCTACACATAAAAAATTAGCTGATTATAAACAAATAATTAATACTATACAATCACAATCTGAACTCTAGACTAAATTACAAAATTACAGATCTCAAATACCTATTATAATTGAAGTCATTCATTTTAAAACTGAATTATATAATCCAGAATGGAATTTTACACCATTACATTAAAACAATTATGTGAACAAGCTTATCAATCTTCAAATCGTCTGCATCCACCAAATCAACAGGATAAGTATTCTACGATAATTGAAAAGGATATCGAAGCTGTTAATGCTTATCATACATTTGCTAATGAATCAATTCGACCAGGTGCCTATGATGATTCTACCTAACGTTTTGAAACTATTTCTATCGAAACATAAGTAAGCCATCTTGTTAAAACATATAATTATAATGAAGGAGATATCATTCGGAGTATTGATCGAAATCTTGAAGCACTCACTGTGTTAACATTCGCATTGACGGAAACATTGAAATGGCGCCAACTCGTTAAAAAAATATGCTCTTTTTGTAAAAATGTGTTTCAGTATATCAGTATGCACTAGCTACATTGAATCAATGTCGTCAGCATTTATCAAATTGAAACTGCTCACCGCTATGCAAGGTCTTTTTGGTGTGAAGTAACGGTGGACCCTTCCTAACTAATACTATGTGTTTCCGTCTATATTTTGCTCATTGTTATTATTCGTATAAATCATAAAATTGCTCATGTTATTATACCTTTCTTCTCTAGTTATGAGTTGTGTAAAAAAAAAAAAAGTAATGTTTCTGATGAAAATGTATTATCTCGGAATAAAAATATTCGTTCGAACTGTAATTTTCAGAATATTATTATGTTTATGAGATCTATGACTCGCAAAAATTCATTATTATTGTCTTTTTCCTATTATCCTGCAATACTCTGAGAACTGTCAAAATAAAAAAAGGTCTATAGTTAAAAGTAAATATTTGACTCTCGTCAATGGTAAACTTAGATTGCGAACATTATGTAACTAAATATATAAATTTTAGTTTAGTGTTCTTGTAAATCATTATACCAATCTTCTCGAATCACTCAGAACAGAAATAAACCAAAATAGTGACATTCTTAGTTTAGGTCCATTAAAAGGTATAATCAGAGAATTATCTGAAAGAGAAATATCTATTCTACAAATAATTCAAGAAAATATAGGTGTAATTACATTGAATAAAATCGATTGTCAATGGATTGAACAATTATCGCGTACTAGTTTTGACATTGAAAAACAGTATTTTCTCAAATTTGGAGTCATTTAGAACAGAAAAATCTTGATCAACTTCAAAATGAATCGAATTTTCTTCAATGTATTATGGACGTTTTAAAAATTTTTTTGAGGCTATATCGAATTAAAGATTTTACTTTATCACAAATCAAAGGTGTCTATCACTTATATGAACAGTGAAGAATTGAAAATCCAATTGTATCATTAATACCTAAAGAAATGAAGAGTGAAAACTACGTTTCATTATGTCTGAAATTCGTAGACATACGATCTTCGTTACAAAAACGAGTCATTGGTATTGAAGAGAAAATAGTTTTAATGTATTCCGAAATAAGGACGATGATTACCAGGCTTAATCGATTGATTGCAAATAATTGATATTTCAAACGTCTATGTTGAAGCATTGAAGCCTGCGACTGTCCCATCACATGTAGTCTATGAAGAAACAATCAGTTATATATCTCTGGGTAAGTAGAAAATAACATCAATTTCGTTACTATCATCAGTTCTATTTGAAAATAGTCGAACTCAAGTAGAACAATCAGCATTGAAAACGTCCAACATGTGTTTTGCTATTATACTCAAAGATTATTAGTTGATTTTATGAAAAATATGTAAATAATTCATTACCTATTATAGAAACAAAATATTATATTAAGGAAAAAACATTAATAATTCCTATTGTATTCGAATATTTCGTTACAGCAGAAGCTACAATTACTTCGATTTTGAGTCGTTTTATTCTTGATCAATAGTTGAAATTCACACCACTGGAAAATTATTTTAGGGTATTTGATTCATTTGGACACTATGCTGATGAAGATTGTTAAATTAATACTATATAATTCTCACTGTAAGTCAAAGTATTTCTTTCATTTTGTAATTAAAGAATTATTAGAAATGATTAAATAACGGATGATTATAAATATTTAGCATCGTATGAAATTAAAATAATCTTGCCTACTAATACAATCTTATCTATGATAAATGAAACAAAATTTTTTTCTCGTAAAAGAACATCAAACATGTCTCATATCTATTCAACCATCAGAGAATGCTCTCGTAGCAGTTAATGAACAAAAACGAAGGATATTTATAAACAAAATAAAACTATTGATGAAAATCAATATCTTCTCTATGATCATGATTTGGTTCCATCGCGAAAAATGCCATAAAGTTTATTTATATCGAATAAAACTTCATCGATTAAATTGAATTTAATCTATCAAAAACTGCAAGAATATGTTACAGTAACTAGTGATGAACAGAAATGTCCAATTGAATTGCAATGTGAACCACATATGACTATTGTGCTCATCTTCATCAAATCGTTTGTGAATTATGAAAATTAAACAAAAAATTCTATAGTGAATGATATCCGTGAATCTATCGATGTTTTAAAGTTGAAATTAATTTCAATTACTGATATTAAATGTGCTATTCAGTCATCTTATAAAATCAAATTAATACTAAATTCTTTTCTTGTCATTCAAAAAAAAATCGATTTCGCTAAAGAGTCGAAGTAAGACAAGTACGGCTTGTAGATGGCACGACATCTCAATTCAAAAAATTTTTAGTTCAAGCTCAAAAATAGTTCATGACTTTAGGTTTGAATAGAAAGTCTTCTGATTTCAATTTTTTCTGTATGTAATTTTATCATGATTGGCTCATGAAGAATTTAAATGATTGACAAATTTTTCTTATTGATGAACTTGTTGATGGAATGTTGTGGTAAAGAAAAACAGAACTAATAAGATTTCTCGTCGTTTCCTGTGTCTAAGTTTTGTTTTCACGTTCATCAATGTTTGTAATATTGAAGGACCTTGAAGTACGATTGTTTCCGTTTGTAATAGAATCAGCAGCTTGAATAACTGGTTGATAGTACAATGAAGGAGTTTTTTCGTGGATTAAAGACTTTCTTCATTATTTAGAGAAATATAACTTCTTTCCATTCAGATCAATCCTCAAATACTAAAATTACAAACTTTTGTTTCGGTATATGCTTATGTTTCATATCATTAATTATTTAAAAGCGATTGCATACAAGACGAAACCCGAATGGTTCGAATTTGACACATGATCAAAAAATCCAGTAGAAAAGTTCTATTTTTAATCTTGAAAGTGACTAAAATGAGTGGTCTTTTGGAATTTTTTTGTCTTATGCCATCAATTTCTCTTCGGAGTATGGTGGTGCGAGTATAAGATTCTTTTAATATATAGCTACACACACTGTTTTTCAAATGTGGAGTTATTCATTTCATAATCTTTGAATAATCATATTTCGTAGAATGGTTCATAAAACATCATAAAACGTCAAAAAAAGGAGTCGTTACAACCTACTGTAAAATGTTGAAGAGCAGTTCTAAATGATATCTCTTTACAAGCTTTGTTAGATGCTATCTATCGATTTATAATAGACACATTATAATAAAGTTAACAATCACGACGAAATGGATCATATCAAATTGTTTCTATGAATCCTTTCACGGAAGTAAAAAGTATCACGAGTCGTTTTTCTTTCACTTCGTTGTATTTTATTGATGTACGATTCAAATGAAGCTTTCTGAACATGTTTTTTAACTTAAGCTTCACCTCTTCTACAGTGTGTCCCAAAAGTCCCTTCCTAAAAGTTTCTTTTTGAATATCTTCGCTATTTTATTTAACTTTATTAGCTTTTTTTAAATGATAGTTGAAGACACCGAGATTTTTTTGACTTGAATGAGTTTCAAGAATATTGCTCAAAGGTATTATCTTTCATCGAAAGGGTGTGAGTGTTTTCTCTCTATATGGTCACACCCCACGCACTCAAGATTTATCAAATCTATCGACATATACTCATTTAGAACATGATAAAAAATGACAGGTATGTTTATTGAATTCGATAAAAATATATTTTAACATTGATTAAATCACAGAGAGAGTACTAAAAGAAAAGATTAAAATAATAGTAATAAACAATGAAGAATCGATAATTGAAATATTTCTTGTCTTTTAGATCAAAGAAGCGATTCATACTAGAAGCTTACCAATATAAACAACGTTGTATGATATATTCATGATATTAAATTTTGTTCTTGAATCAGAACTATGGATGAAATTTTCTTTTCATCGATTAAAGTCTAAATATTGGACAATATTAATGATTTACCAATATTGAATGAAAATTTTTACAAACCTTTATGTAAACGATAATAGTCGATCGTAGACGTTGAACTTTCTTATCAAGGACAAATAGAAGAATAAAATTTTTCTAATGTACGCTATAAATAAAATTGATTTCAACTCAGATTGAAGTGAAACACTCAATCTATTTCATGAACGAAATACTCCGTCGTTCTCTGATAGAATTCATATGATTTTACTCACGAATATCAACTAATCACACTTATTGGATTAAACAAATAATCAAAAAACAAAGTGAAGTGTATAGTGTCAAAATTTTTTCAGCAAATACTTTTAATTAGGAATGGAAAATAGCTGGCGGTTTGATAATATCTCTTCTGAATCGAACAAAATTATTATGTTTGTGAGAATTTTCGTCGCAAAATTGCGGCATCCTATCGAATCACAAATCTAAATCTAAATTCGAAACCAAAACTATATCATACACTATCCTAATGCTTCACGTAGTATGCTCTTTTCATTAGAA